GGTAATGCCAAAGAAGAAGATTTTTATAGATTTTTCTTGTATATTTCAATGTAAAAGATGGGTTCCCTATTGTAGTCCCACCCTACCCCAAGGGTCATAATTTAAATAATTTAGAATCTACACTACCCCAGGATGCTTCTGCATAAGTTTCAACTTTTCTGGCCAGTGGTTCTTTGGAAGAAGATTACGAATGATGAGAGGAAAATGTAACATGTATTCACATCTGACAGGTGCTGAGCTTCAACAAATCATTCTCAATACATGTATTTAAAAGAGACGGGATATTTTGAAGATCTTGAATATTATATGGTAAACTTACTGCCTTTGTTATGCAAATCATCTTTACTTCAGTCAGGGTTTCTTGTCTGCTTCTCTCCTTATACTGCAGTGGCTAAATCAAGCTTAACATTGCATTGCTGAAGGAAGAGAAAGTGTTATAAAAGAGTACAGGATATCAATATCATTACAAACTAAAGTGTTCCAAGGAACACATATGTCACCTGCTTTTAGCTTCTTTAAAGATGTATCTATAAAATCTAAGAGTGGTCAGCTATTTTTATGCTACTAGCATATACAGAATGCAACCCTCAACTGAATAATTTAGTTGAAATCATCATAAATAATTATTTATCATTTTACATGTGTTACATGTTTCAAAGCAATTGTCACATTGCACGATCCACTTTGTGAGATTCCATCCCAATGTATTTTCATAATATTAAGATATCAGTTTTTGTGGTTTACTGAATATCATATAGTTTAAAAGAACAGTTTTATGAGCTCATAAACATGTATAAAATTAATGTAAATTATCATCATACATCACTCAATATTTAAAAAAGTCTTTAGTTAATTTAAAGTTTCTAGGGGTATCTTTGTAAAGTAGGTCAAAGTTCAAGTCAACCAAATACAGTACTAGCAAATAAGGGCAACAATATAAACAAATTTCTTTGATGTACTCAGACTGACCCATCAAAAATACCCAAACCCAATCATTTTTTCAGCACTTTGAATTTTTGATTTAAAAAAAAATTGTTTTATTTATTAGAAATAGATACTGTTTCCTTTTAAAATTGTGGTATGTGATTTCTATTGGATGCTTTTAGATTAATAATTTTTTAACAAATATATTTCATCTGTCTAGATATCCAGTGTGTATTGAAAATATTAATAAATTTCTGTCGAGTCTGGAATTCTTTAATGACACTTTGATATCAATTTGATCAATATTATTAAGCCAAAAAGATACGTACCTACCCACCTTGAAAAATGTGTGTCAGGGTACATCAAACAAAAATATTTTAATTATGCTCTACGGTTTTTTAAAACAAGTACTTTAAATGAAAATCTTAGAATTAAGGAAACAGAAATTTTCAAATTAAGTTCACATTTGAGCAGTATAGGACTTTACAGAAAAGAACAATGCTGTTGAGGCCTGCCCTCTCCCAACTCAGGATTAGGTTGGTATATAGGTAGATGAGAAAATTATTCTCAGAAAAATTAACAGTAATTATAAATTAATAATGTGTTCTCCAGAATACAAAAAAGTTAATTACTTCTTGGACATAAAAAAAAAGTTTTGAGTCATTTTAGTCAGTTGGTTGGGACAGGGCAATCAATTTTTTTTTTCGAGATGACCAGACTGAGAATTTGAACTCTGAATATGTGCATGACAGCTAGTATTACCGGGTAATGGAAGATTCCCTTTGATGTTACATGTATATCAATTTTATTTTAAAGTCTGTACTCTGATGAAATAATTCAGCCTATCTTAACTTCTTGTGCTGATCAAACTATTCAGACATGTTCTTCTATTTAGTTTTTCTGTTTTCCTTTCATGAATACTACATATATAATTACTTTCTCATTTAAACTGCAAGGTCAAGACAAATCATTATTTTCTGAAACAGTACGTGCATATTCATCTTCTTTATGCCTGGTTCTGCTAATTAGTTCATCAATATGCATGCATGTACATAAATGACCATTATAGAACTCAATCCAAAGACTTGATGAAAAATTACATGCACATTTTAATATTATAAAAAGTTCTGAAAAATAATTCCAAAATGTGTCATCTATTGAAAACTATTTTGATGTCCCCAGGGTGTTGATACTACACATAAATGAAAAAATAAAAATGTACATGGAATGTTATAAATTGAAAATGAAAGTAGGAATAAAATTTTAAAACTTTAGTTACTAAGTTAACTAGCTGTTATATTCTTTTTTGGTATTATTTCACCTAGTTGTTTAACCATATTCGTGTTCTTTTATAATCATAGAAACACCCCTTTTCATTTTCCACACATGGGCTTACATTCAGACCGTTACTGAACACGAACGGTTAACCATGAGCACAAACAAGAGAGCTGTTGTTCTAATGTCAGCAATATCACGCGTTTTGAAATATATTTATATTCTTAGCATTTGTAGACACTTCTTTCTTGTGTGTATATAAGTTAGGAAAACAACAACAGCTGCAAAAAGTACCATAGAATATATAAACTACTTACGTTTTAAACACTGCGCCTGGCATGCTTGCATCATCATGCCCACAGCCATTATCCACAAGTTGTACTTCGTTAGATTCGGACTATTTTCTCGTAGTTTATAATTAAATTTGTTAAATGCTGTTAAAATTTATTTTAATTCAAAGTAAAAGTTATATTATCAATAAAAGCAATTTAAATTAATTCCTTATATTTTTAACGATTTTTTGGAAATTTACTTTGCAAAGGACGACTACTCCCTTCGAAAACTGGTTCCCGGCCCCGTAATCTAGACGCTAATGGACGAGTTTACAATGTTAAATCTCCGTAGACTTTGAATTTGCCGCCGTGTGTATACACTGGTTGACCTCGAGGGTTCGGATAAACGGCGGAAGGTTGGAAAAAAAATGATCTATCGATCGGAACTGGGTTGAAAGCCAAGGTATTTATATATTTTGAGATATTTTGCGAAAAGTGCTTACAGTAACTTGGTGGGACAGACTATAATTTATGTTTAACTGGATGGTAGTTCAGATATTCATGGAATAGTTACTAAGGATGCATTTTCGGTGTAAATACAATTTTCTGGGGTTTATTACATCACCTGAGCCTGTCTGTCAATGATAGATTCCGGTGAGCTTTACATAAAAGATAACACAGAGTCAGACACATATGTTTCATATTTGGATATTTTACTTGAAAAAGATGTTGATGGAAATCTAACTACCATGTTCTCTGACAGTGGCAGATCCACAAATCTTGAAAAGTTTTCCTTCAGGATAGGGGTCTTCAGCCACATGAAAAAACCCATTGATTTATCAAATTTTGTGTATTTTTTAGACACAGGGGGTGGGGACTGGGTCCCCCATTAAAACCTCCGAGGGCTCAAGTGAGCTTTTCAGCTCACCTGAGCCAAAGGCTCAAGTGAGCTTTTCTGATCACATTTTGTCCGTCGTCCGTCCGTCTGTCTAGCTGTCTGACCGTCCGTCAGTCTGTCCGTCTGTAAACTTTTCACATTTTCGACTTCAACCAAACTTGGTACAAAGCATCCTTGGGTGAAGGGGGAATTAAATTGTTAAAATGAAGGGTTAAGTCCCCTAACAAGGGGATATAATCAAAAAAAAGACAAAAATAGGGTTTGTCACTTAAAATCTTTTTCTTAAGAACCACTGGGCCAGGAAAGCTGAAACTTATGTGGAAGCATCCTGGGGCAGTGTAGATTCTAAATTGTTCAAATCATGACCCCAAGGGGTAGGGCAGGAACATATATAGGGAATCCAATTTACATAGAAATACATGTATATAGAACAAATCTTTAAAAATCTTCCTCTCAAGAACGACTGGGCCAAAAAAGCTAAAACTTATGTGAAAGCATCCTTAAGTAGTGTAGATATTTAATTGTTAAAGTCATGACTGCCCGGGGGTAGGGTAGGGCACATTAGGGAATCCAAAATTAACATAGAAATACAAAGTACAAATCTTTAAAAATCTTCTTCTCAAGAACCACTGGGCCTGGAAACTGAAACTTATGTGGAAGCATCTTCGGGTAGTGTAGATATTAGATTGTATAGGTATAGCAAGAGGGGAAATCTGGTAAAGAACTGCATCACCCAAGTAACTCAGGTGAGCGATGTGGCCAAATTGGGCCTCTTATTTGATTACATTTTGTCCGCCGTCTGTCCAACCAGCTGTAAGTCTGTCTGTTTGTTAACTTTTCACATGTTTGACTTCTACTCACTGGGCCAATTTTAACCAAACTTGATAAAAAGCATTCTTGGTTTGAATTGAAGTTTGAAAATGTTAAAATAAAGGACGAAGTCCCTTCACAAGAGGAGATAATCAAGAAAAGACAAAAGTAGAGTGGAGTCTTTAAATTATTCCCAAAAACCAGTAGACCAGGAAAGCTGAAATTTACGTGGAAGCTTGCTTGGGTTGTGTAGATTCTAAATTGTTCAAATCATGACCCCGGGGTAGGGCGCGGCCAAAATAGGGAATCAAAGTTTTACATAGAAATATAACTTCATCACCTGCATACGGAGTATATATATCTCAGTTGATTCGAAACCCAAGAGCATGCTCTGCGTAGGAACGATTTCTTGAATGAGGTAAATCATTGACAACTTGATGAATCAAGAATATCAGCAGTCTTGTTTAAAATCATCATTTCGTACTTGCTATGGTCGATACAATGACCTTGTCAGCAAATACAATTTATCATTGATTAGAGTCAAATGCTGACTGACGTTTTTCATAGCAATTGTTAGTCCATTAATTATACACTGAATGGACGACAGATTTTTTTCTCGTTATTTCCTGATCATGACAACGAGCACACGGCGTATGTGACCCGTTGGCAGGGGATGCTCACCCCTCCATGGAACCAGATCCCACCTCTGAATGTTTGGGGTCCGTGTTTGCTCGGCTCTTCTTTGTATTGTTTTATGGACTTTGAGACTTACTTATGTTTGTTATTCCATATTGTTCTATAATCCTTTTATTTCTTTGTAGCTACAGAGAATCTTGAACGAAAATTCTTGGTCAGAGTTCCAAGATCTTTGCTTGCAAAGAAAAATGGCAATTATAATGAAGATGCTGATAGAATAGAAGAAGACAACACAGGCGATCTTTCTGATCAAAAAGAAAAGGACAACACAGGCAATAATTGTAAACTGCATGACACAAACCATATATGTGAGGAGAATACTGAAAACATAGGGCCGGAAGAAAGCAGCATTAACCTCACCTCTGATGTCAAGGTAGAGGATCACAGTACTACAGCTTCAGACACTAAAGTCAAAGACACAATTGCTGAAACACTCTCCCCAGAAGTAATCAAGAAGATATTAGATGCACAGGAGAACGAGATTAGTGTCAGCATGATTGATTTCGCTGGACAGTTTGCATATTATGCATGTCACCAAATTTACATGAGATCATCGGCTTTTTACATACTGGTAATGGACATGTCAAAGAGCTTTGAAGAAGTTGTCTTTGGTGAAGAAGAAGAAGACAAGAAGGGTTCTGTTTTTTCTACTTGGAAATACAAAGGTAGTCTTCTCAGTCAAATGCTTAGAGATAATTAGTCAAAAGTTAAGGAATTAAAATTCGTGCGATGTTCAGTTTGCATCAACTTTACAGAAAATGGAGCACTTCTCAAGAATCTCTATTTTAAGGTCACCTAAAAAATCCAGGTGACTCATGGCTCTCTGTTTTCGTGTTCGTCATCATGCGTTGTGCGTACACATTTAATTATTTCCAGGTTCTTCTCTGAAACCACTGAATCAATTTCAAATAATTTGGCACAAGCATCTATGGGTGAAAAATTGTGAATTTCATGATCCCTGCCCCCTGGGACCTAAGTGGTGGGGTCAAATTAAATCCCCTAAAATTTAATCAATCTTTAAAAATCTTCTTCTTTACTCCTGGACATCAAGCAGTCAAACTGTTTGCATGATTGTAATCAGCATTTAGTACTCTACCAAATTTTTGAAATTCATGGCCCTGGGATCAAGGGTTCCAGTGCTAGGGCGGAGTTACATGTAAATAAGTATATAGTGAAAATGCATTATTTTTATTGAAAATCTTCTTTTATGCTCCTGGGTATTAAATAAACTAACTTAGTGCATGCTTATGATCAGCAAGGGTGCTTCTACCAAAATTATGGCCCCAGGGTTCTGGGGTTTGGGTGGGGTTTTAAAGATTAAATAGTGAAAATGCTCAAATTCTTTGAAAACCTTCTTCTCTGCTCCTGGGTATCAAATAAACTAAGTGCATAGTTATGATTAGCAAGAGTGCTTCTACCAAAATTGTTAATTTAATGCCCCCAGGGTCAGGGGTTCTGGTGTTAGGGCGGAGTGAAAAATTCTCAAGAGGGACGTTAAACAATATACAATCAATCAATCAATCAATCAATCTTCTCTTCCTGTGTATTAAGCAGATGAACTACACTGTACCTATATAGTTATGAGAAGCAAGGGCCCTAATCTTCCAGAATTGTAAATTTCAAGGCCCCAGGTCCAGGGGTACCAAAGAGGGGGCTGTACTTATGTACTGAAAATGAATGAATTGTTTGAAATCTGCTCCTTGGTATAATGAATTTTTTTTTTCCAAAGGCAAGGGTGCCTTTTCAAAAATTGTGCAATGTGTGGATCGAAGCATAAAGGTCAGGGGTTCATGTAAGGCAGGGGCACTACTGATTTTTGTTGATTATTATTGATAAGTTGAAATGCATTTTTGTTTCCCAACTCTGCCTATGGGTATAGTAATGATGATCAATGATACCTCTTTCAAAATGTTGAACCCCATATCACCTGGCTTAAAACATGATAAAAAAAATCAATGAAATGTTTTTGCATGATGCTCAGGTGACCCATAAGGCCCATATCTATTTTTGTTTTTTTCTGTTTTTACTTTTTATACACGTCTTTTGACGTGACTCATTATGTTAAAGATTTCTTGTCCGTCTGTCTCTTTTCATTTGTCTGTAAGCTTTTCCCATGTCCGACTCATAAAATTAATACTTTTAGACCTAGAGGTATCAATCTTTGTCAGCTGATACATCTTGGGTATGTCTTACACAAAAAGTAGGTCGCTCTGACCTAAAGAAAATAAAATCATCGGATATTTTATGTTTTAAAAACATTTTAGCATTGAAAGTGTAGTTCAATTTATCTCTTCGGAGTCAAAGATAATTGTAGAAAGACTAGCTCTCTCAATCATTTCTATAGAGCATCTCTAACCAAGCAGTCTTACATGTATCTATATCCTTTGGGAATTACACAGAACTGTTTGTCAGTTTATAGCATATATCATATGATGGCCAGTCTTTTTTTCAAAATTTATTTGGCATTGAATAAGCTGTGAAGACTAATCTGATATTGATTAATTTGATAAAAATTTGACAAGGTATAACACAACCAGTTTTATAAAAAAAGAATAGCAAATCTATCAATGATTTTATATTTCTTATAATTAATCCCTACACCACAAGGGATGGACAAACAAATATTTCAAGGGATGGATAAATTAAAGAAATCTTGACATTATTTTCTTGCACTGTAAATTGTTTAAGATAATTTGATTGGCGTGTCATGTCCGTCTTCCGATCGTCGATCTCCATTCATTCGTCTTTCCATCCATCAACTAAGTGTTTAGCTCATTTTGAAGGAAATTAATTCAAGATATTTATCACTTTGAAATTCTGGTACACCTTGGTGAATTCTTTTCAACTGCATAAACATTTTGAAACTGGATCTTTCATTTGTCTGATCACTCACCTAATAAAATAAATAACTAATAATAAAATTTTTTTGAAATATACACCCAATCATAAGAAATATAACACCTTGTGAAGATTATAAACGGGATATAACTTTATACCCCAAAATAGTGAAGACATCTTTTACTTTGCTAAATCACTTATTTAAATGTTGAATGTTCACCCCATTACCGGAAGTTGTCTGTAATCCCTCTTAACAGAAATAAAAAATAAGAGCATGTTTAATGAAATTATTGGATTTTTAGGTCACCTGAGTAAACTCAGGTGACCTATTGCTATCTGTTTTCGTCCGTCGTCGTGCGTCGTGCGTCGTGCGTTGTGCGTTAACATTTGAACATTTTCAGCTTCTTCTCTGCAACCACTGAACCAATTTCAACCAAATTTGGCATAAAGCATCTATGGGTGAAGGGGAACAAAAATTGTGAATTTCATGATCCCTGCCTCCCTGGGGCCTGTGGGGTGGGGCCAAAACCACTAAAATTAGTGCAATATTTAAAAATCTTCTTTACTCCTGGACATCAAGCAGTCAAACTGTTTGCATGATTGTAATCAGCAATGAGTCCTCTACCAAAATTGTGAAATTCATGGCCCTCGGGTCAGGGGTTCTAGTGCTAGGGCGGGGCTAAATAAGTAGGTAGTGAAAATGCATTATTTCTTTGAAAATCTTCTTCTCTGCTCCTGGGTGTTAAATAAACCAACTAAGTACATAGTTAAGATGAGCAAGAGTGCCTCTACCAAAATTGTGAATTTTATGGCCCCAGGGTCAGGGGTTCTGGTGTAAGGACAGGGCTCTATTTATTATATAGTGAGAATGCTTTGAAAATCTTCTTCTCTGCTCCTGGGTGTTAAATAAACTAACTAAGTACATAGTTATGATGAGCAAGAGTGCCTCTACCAAAATTGTGAATTTTATGGCCCCAGGGTCAAGGGTTCTGGTGTTAGGGCGGGGCTCTATTGATTATATAGTGAAAATACATGAATTCTTTGAAAATCTTCTTCTCTGCTCCTGGGTATTAAATAAACTAACTAAGTACATAGTTATGATGAGCAAGAGTGCCTCTACCAAAATTGTGAATTTTATAGCCCCAGGGTCAGGGGTTCTGGTGTTAGGGCAGGGCTCTATTGATTATATAGTGAAAATACATGAATTCTTTGAAAATCTTCTTCTCTGCTCCTAGGTATTTAATAAACTTACTAAGTGCATAGTTATGATGAGCAAGAGTGCCTCTACCAAAATTGTGAATTTTATAGCCCCAGGGTCAGGGGTTCTGCTGTTAGGGTGGGGCTCTATTGATTATATAGTGAAAATACATGAATTCTTTAAAAATCATCTTTTCTGCTCCTGGGTATCAAATAAACTAACTAAGTGCATAGTTATGATGAGCAAGAGTGCCTCTACCAAAATTATGAATTTTATGGTCCCAGGGTCAGGGGTTCTGGTGTTAGGGCGGGGCTCTATTGATTATATAGTGAAAATACCTGAATTCTTTGAAAATCTTCTCCTCTGCTCCTAGGAATTAAATAAACTAACTAAGTACATAGTTATGATGAGCAAGAATGCCTCTTCCAAAATTATGAATTTTATAGCCCCAGGGTCAGGGGTTCTGGTGTTAGGGTGGGGCTCCATAGATTATATAGTGAAAATATATTAAATCTTTGAAAATTTTCTTCTCTGCTCCAGGGTATTAAGCAGATGAACTACCAATATAGTTATGATGGACAAGGGCCCATATCTTCCACAATTGTGAATTTCAAGGCCCCAGGGTCAGGGGTACCATAGATAGGGGGGGGTGGGGGGTTGTACTTGTATACTGAAAATGAATGGTTTGAAATCTGCTCCTTGGTATTAATCAAATATCAAGGCCTAAGGATCAGGGGTTCATGTATGGTAGGGGCACTACTGATTATTGCTGAATATTACTGATTAGTTGACATACTTTTTTGTTCCCCTACCCTGCGTATGGGTATTAAGTAAACAAACTAAGCAACTGCTAAGTGTATTGTTATGATGATCAATGGTGCCTCTTTCAAAATTGTGAATGCCGTAGCATCTGGCTTAAAACATGAATCAAATTCAATCACTGGAAAGTTGTTGCATAATGCTCAGGTGACCTATAAGGCCCATGTGCCTCTTGTTAAGATTTGTTCCTGTTAATCGTAATTCATATACTAATATTCGCGGTAAAATCTCTCTTTATTTTTTCGGATGTGATGCTTATACATACTTCCTGAAACTGAAAGCATGCATAAATAAAGAAAAGGAGAACTGCATATTTAAATATACACTACATAACTGATTTGTCAAAGTTAAAGAGGGTCCTTCAGATGAGACTTTTAAAAAACCGAGGCAGGCTTTGGCACGATAAAACTCATTCACTGTTCAATGGTCCTGAGTGCCAAGTAAAGATCAAAATTTGAAGCCCTTCACCGACATACGGTGACGTGTCAATTTGAGTGAAAATTCTGGAGAGGGACGTTAAACAATATACAATAAACGAATTAATCAAAGTTAAGGATGTCCTATTTCTTTGTACATAGTTGTATCCCATATAGATTTTTCACCCTAAAATTATGATGTTACCTTTCTTTTGAGTCTGAGTATATTTGAAAAAATTGACATAAATTCCTGAAGAACAAGCGACACATTTTTTAAATCGTACTTTTTTTCATTTATACTTCCACTCTATATATCATATTTAACTTGAAATTGTTTAATATACTCTTTTCTAATAAACGTGATGACTTCAATTTTCCACTGTAAAGTTCTCTTATTCATAAAACTATATATCTTTATCAAAAGCATGTTGGGGTTATGTCTTCCAGTTTATTCGATACGCAAGAGCATGTTCTTTTTGTAATCTTTATTTTTCAAGCAAAGTGACATTTTTAAAATACATTGTAATTGTGTTCCTTAATATTGTTTTATTTCATATACGTTTTTAACGGTGGGCAAAATATAATCTAGGAAATGTTTGATCTCTTAAGTCTAGATCTCAGAAATTAATGTTTTATATCTATTTACTAATTAAATATAAAAAGAGAAAACATTTTACGAAAAAATATACCGGTAAGTAATGTTTAATTTTTTTCATTGCATTTTTGATAGAGTATGTAGAATTCTGGCTGAATTCTATTAAATCATTTGGCGGCCCTGAAGCACCCATTCTCATTGCAGCCACACACACAGAGGGCAGAACAGAAGATGTACGAGTGTATTTATGCATTTTTATCATCATTAGTAACAGTGATAATTTCCGATGTCTCCAAACAATTTTCATTTTAGTTTATAAAAGAAGACAACGAAATTAAGATCAGATGTAAAATTCTGATGGATAATTCAGGAATCACGTATGATAATATTTATGAAGTAACCATTATGATTTATGGTAAAGATATCATATATGCAAAATTTTGAAGAAAACATTTATCCTTTTTGTTTGATAATTAGGCTCATGTCTTTAATAACCACAACTCCGCCTTTATCAGTTAAATGTACTAAATTTCTTCGAAATGATCTCAAAACTTTTATTTCTATTTTAGGTATTATTTCTTCTTCTTTTAGAGTTAAAAATATATTCATTTTCAAATCATTAATAATGTTGTCTTATGTAAATTTCTCTTCATATCATTTTTTTCCAGACTTAGAAAGGGTATAGGACTTTTTAGCTCACCTGAGCCGAAGGCTCAAGTGAGCTTTTCTGATCAAAATTTGTCCATTGTCTGTCGTCGTCGTTGTCGTCGTTTTTGTCGTTGTTGTCGTCGTTGTTGTCATTAAATTTTCACATTTGAGACTTCTTCTGAAGAACCACTGGGTTAATTTCAACCAAACTTGGCACAAAGTATCCTTAGGTAAAGGGGATTCAAATTTGTTCAAATAAAGGGCCATGTCCTTATACAAGGGGGAGATAAGTAAGAAATAGTGAAAATTTGATGGTATGTTTTAAAAATCTTCTTCTCAAGAACGACTGTGCCTGGAAAGATGAAACTTATAGGGAAGCATCCTCATGTAGTGTAAATTCAAGTTTGTTCAAATCATAACCCCTGGGGGTAGGGTGTGGCCACAATGGCCGATCAAAGTTTTACATAGAAATATATAGGAAAAATCTTTAAAAATCTTCTTCTCAAGAACCACTGGGCCAGGAAAGATGAAACTCATGTGGAATCATCCTCAGATAGTGTAGATTCGAATTTGTGCAAATGATGACCCTGGGGGTAGGGTGAGGCCAAAATGGCCGATCAAAGTTTTACATAGGAATATATAGAAAAAAAATTCTTCTCACGATCTATAGGCACAGGAAAAATGAAACTCGTGTGGAATCATCCTCAGGTTGTGTACATTCAAGTTTGTTCAAATCATGACCCTTGGGGCTAGGGTGGGGCCATAATGGCCTATCAATGTTTTACATAGGAAGATATAAGAAAAATCTTTAAAAATCTTCTTCACAAGAACCCCTAGGCCAGGAGAGGTGAACCTCATGTGGAATCATTTTTAAGTAGTGTAGAATCAAGTTTGTTCATATCATGACCCCGGGGCTAGGGTGGGGCCATAATGGCCGTTAAATGTTTTAAATAGGAATATATAGGGAAGCCCTTTAAAATCTCCTTATCAAGTACTTCAAAGCCATGATTAGTAATATTGATATGGAATCATCCTCAGGTAGTGTAGATTCTAGTTCGTTCAAATCATGATCCCATGGGATTAAAATTCAAGCCCCCCTCCCCCCCCCTTCCCCCCCCCCCCCCCCCCAATGTTACTAAACTTTCAGTTCTGATCTGATATATGCTTTTTCTTAGCCGATGTGGCCCCTGGGCCTCTTGTTAGGATTTTATTCAAATTGATACAGATGATAAAGATACAAATGGGAGAAGGAAATGTTAATTAAATATTATAACTCTTTAATAGCGAGCGCAGCGAGGCGGCGCGAAGCGCCGCTCGCGTAGCGAGCTCAATAGACAACGTGTACGAACGGAGGAAATTCGGGTTGAAATCTGCACATTGATCCAAGAAATTTTTATGAGTCCACGTGAAAACATTCTTCAATCCCAATAGTCCTTTGCGGTGCATAGCAACATGGTGGCTAAAACATAGCAACAACTTACTTGAAAAAAATTACAAACAACGATTTAATGCAATTTTCATGCCACAAAACTATCGTTTGCATTCTAACTCAAGAGGACTTTTTATTTGACATACTTTCGTCACTTAAAGTTGGGGGCTACTCGTGGTAAACCGGAAGCCGGAATTACCGTTTTTGGTTTAAAAATTATGGTTCATATAACATTAGCAAAAATGTAAACAACGTCTACAGAAATGTTGCAGGGGTGTATAAAGATGATTGAGTGTATTTTTGTGCAAGAATTGAGATTCATACAGTATGTAGCAAAAAATTTAATCGATTTAAAACACAAGCGCGAGGTCAAATGCCGGACATGCTTTTCAGATGCGGTATATTTTTTGCCTTAGGAGGTTTCACTGATATTAGACATTGCATTTGTACACCTCCGATATTTCTGATACCTATGTACAGAAAACGTGGTGAATAATTTGCTATTATGTCATTGAATAAAACTTTTCGTTTGTTGGTGTCATTTATGCACAATTTGTATGCTGTGCAGATGGGATTTTCCTACTTTCGTTTTTGACGGCAAATTTTCTCATACGAACTCAGGTACTCGGTTATAATTAAAAACCAACAACACATGTTTCTAATGATGTACATGCAATTTCAGACATAATTATGCTTGAAAGACATCGCTTATAATTTTTTTATAACTAGTAATAAGCATCCAGGAAAGTCAGATCATCAGTAGTGGACATGTTCACAGTACATAATGAATAAAGAATTAAATTGAGAATTAAATTTATGTTTGTGGTTAGGGAAAGGTGTGTAAATAATGATAAAATTGTTCTGAAAAAGAATATTTCACTTTTTATTTGATTTATAAATATCTTCGCAACATAAAAGGCTTGAGCTATTGAACTGCGATGGGGGTACCTGTATGTTTTACCCCATATCTCGGTGAAAAAACAGATGACCAATACATTTATCATGCCTATAAGATACTTCAAGCATTGGTTGCTACAATTTAAGACAAAAAAATCAGGGTAAACAAACTAGTTATTCTAATAGAGAGTCTTATTTGAGTTTTGAGCTCTGTTACTTTATTAGTGAAATGAGATTTATTCTTCAATATTTTCTTAATTTTAAGCAGAAATGTGTATCGTAGCCTGAAATTATTAAATATTATCCTTATCCTTGTAATTTATGTTAAAAAGAATTTATTTGCCATGTGCTATGACATAAAATGTAGACAGTCATTATAACAGTGATGATTTTGTTTTTTCTACAAGAGGGTACATGAGTGTTTCACACCCTATCTCATTAAAAATATCGATTATCTTTGTACTTTTTGTGCTTTTGAAGTAGATAAAGTATCTATTTATGTAAATCAGGACAAAAATTGCACCGTTATCCAATTAATTCTACGAATAGGGACCTACCTTAAAAGCTCGGGTATTTCCGATTATATCAGAAACTTCCGAAAAGTTCGGAATCTCGATCCCGATGCCTGGGAATTGATTTTGTTTGTTTTTTTTTCTTTTCTTCTTTTTTAATGAACTGAGGATAGGCAGTGGAAGTCAAAGCTGTGTAAATGTTTTTGATAGTAATTAAATAACTGCGCTCGCCCCAACTGTCGCACCGTAGAACATATTAATAATAAAATTAATAATAATATTAAATTTTAATTAATTTAGGACATAGATGATTATTTCATATGTCTATGGCGTTCCCTATCGGAGGTAGACAAGACATGGCTGTCCAAGCATCGCAGTGAAGAAAACGAATTTGCATTTGAACTTATAAACATAAATGAAGGCGAAAGAACGCAGAAGTTACAGTTGCTGAAGAACGCCCTTGTTGAAGTAGTGTCAAATAAACTGGACACAAAAATTCCAGTTCGCTCATCTTGGGCCTTACTAGAACATCTCTTACAAGATTCTGGAAAACCAATCATATCGTACGAGGAAATTCAGGAAATGAATAGAAAGTTTCCTGAGCAATATCGCCTAGAAAGCGAAGAAGAAATACTTTATTTTCTAACATTCTTTCATGATCATGGAATTCTACTGTATTTCAATGGAGAAGCTACTCGAACACACGCAATTCTCAGCTTGCAATGGTTTTCTAATGCATTTTCTAGGCTAATAGCAGACAAAGGGCATGTTAATAAAGACTGCAAGCGACGGCATATAAAAGAATGGGAACTTTTCAATAAGACTGGAGAACTGAAAAGTACGTTAGTTGATGCCGTTTGGAAAGACGAAAAAGCGGAAATACCAAATGAACAATCATACGAAGAGTACAAAACGGAACTTATGTCGTACATGGAGAGGCTCCGAATGTTGGTCAGTATTGGTGATACAGACAAAATCCCGTCCTGGTATGTTCCATGTATGAACAAAAAGCCGTTTACAAAAGATATCATCAAAGCTAATCTAGCATGCTCCTCAATTTTGTGCTTTCGATTCACATCCTTTGCCATATTTGTGTTTTATAGGCTCATAGCTTATTGCATGAGTTCTCTTAATTTGAAAGTAGTACCAGACAAAAGGGATATATGTCTTTTTCAAACAGCGGCAGTGTTTGAATACAAAAATCACACTGTTTTACTAGGGATATGTGATAAAGACATTCAGGTGCAAGTTGTGACCCACTCTTTGGACATAAAAACTGAAGTATCCTGTGAAGTAGGTAATTCAATCCACAAGGCTCTAGATGAACTCACCGAAACATTTGAAAACACAGATTTGAGTTTTCAAAGAGGTTACAAATGCCAGATGATATTCTGTGACCAAAATGATACTTCATTCACACCAGAGGAGGAACTTTGCAAATTAAGAATTGAAGAGATTCAATGTTCCTGCTGTCCAATGGGAGAAAAACACCTCATAAAAGTAAACCAAACTCGACGATTCTGGGAACAGGTTTGTATTAAATATATTCTTACCGAACCACTCTGCACGCTAGCAACATATATTGTACGCAACTCGGTTTCAACTTTACATAAACACAATCTATCATATTGGTTTGTTCATTTGCTCTCAAAAATTATACAGAATCATAAGCGTATCATTAAAGTAAAATGAGCAATTGCTATTTTACACCATATATTTAAATTACAACTTGCTTTATCAGTTTACCTGATCAATGTAGAAGACTCACGAACTAACTGGTTTAGATCATAATGCTAGAAAGCATCAAGAAATATATCGATTGAATATTGTTTAACGTCCCTCTCGAGAGTGTTTTCATTCATATGGAGACGCCACCACTTGCCAGTTGAGAGCTGCACATTTTGTCCTATACTCGGCACTTAGGGCCTTTGAGCAGAGAGAGAGAGAGACAGAGAGATCTTTTTGGTGCCAGCACCTACTGAGACAAGGGGCCTCGTTTATACGGTTTCATTTGAAGGACTGGTCTCCACATCCAACAGTGGGATTCGAACCCGAGACGTAAGGATTGACTCCTTACTTCGCGACTCTAGAGCAGACGTTCTGCAAATATAATATATCATATTAGCATATCTATTCGTTTTCTCTGTGACAACTTTTTAAAAGTTAAAAGACCTGAGTCATATAAATCTACCGGCTTGTAAATTTCGCCAAGAAATAGGCCAGGCGCTAAGAATTCCCAATATTTATGTAAATCTCGTGTGTCTGTTTTAGTGATTGATGTAAGTTTGCGGAGATTATTAAAATTGATATTTGGGGCTTTGTGTAATTGAAATATATTAGTCTACATTATTAAAATCTATTTTTTTTTCACAATGAATTGGAAATATAAAAAATCACCCTGTAGTTAGTAGATTGTACCAGGAAATTCAACGAAAGTTGCAAATGGGGGACATATAATTTATGCATAACAGGCTTCGCCCGATTCCAACTATCGGTGATACCCCAGCATACTCAACTATTTAGACGGTGATTCTGTATGATGAAGGCTGGCTGACTTTTTGCATACTAATTGTTTGGTCATTTTGTTTAAAAGATCATTTTTCCACCTGTTCAATCATGACAATAATCACAAGGCGAGTGTGATCGGTCGACAAGGGATGCTTAATCCTTTATGGTACCTTATTTTACTTCTGATGTTTAGGAAGACCTCGTTTAGTGTGTTTCCGTTCTGCATCATTTAAATGGACCTTTAAGCTTGATTATTGATTGTTTTCTTCATATTTGGTATGGCCATAAAACAAACAATGAGAAAGAAACATATGGAGATAACGAACAGAATTCAAAATTAAAGGTCCATAAACCAACAGGAGCAAAGCAAACACGGACCAACGAACCATCAGAGATGGGATCGGGTGCCATGGAGGAGTGAGCATCCCTATTTCTAACCCGAGTTAACGCAGATTTTATTTCACCTAATTTTGAAATATAGATTTTTAAAATGTATGATTTGTTTTCACATAGCAAAAGATGGGAGAGGACAAAGAGGGAAATTGTCATTGTCTAGGTATGATCAATATTATATATATTTGTATTGAATAATTTTTAATCAAAAATAAAATTTCTGAATAATTGTGTACCACATTCTGAAAGGCCCTGTCGTGTATAATCAGATACTCTATAGCAAAGGAAAGCGATCAAAAACGACGTATATATAGATATTTAGATCGTTAACTGTTTGCTATCTTAACATTTTTCACTAAAACACCAAAATATGTACTGAAAATATTTAAACTTTCAACATTATACCATTTTTTTTTTAAGATCATTTTACTGTCCCGTCAAAGAAATAATTTTGCTACAATTTTTTTAATACATGTAATTTACTTCAATTAATTTTACTGCAAGTAATCTAAGGATTTAAACTTTCCTCAATTTGTTTTAGGAATCTATCAGGACTGGTTGTAGAAATTTAGTCCTTATGAATATAAAAGGCTTGTATTCTGCAATACTAGACTACAATTACAAGCTATCAACCTTCATAAACAATATAGATCGAAAAACTAAAGTAGGACTCTGTTTAACTTTTCCATTTGTTGTTAAGAATGACAGAGAACAAAATAAGCGAAGTATAAAAAAAAAACACAAAGAATATTATTGAAATAAATTCAGCTTATATGTTGTAATCGATGGGTGATCAAAAAGTTTGCGAACAAATTAAATATTTATCTTCAATAATTATTTTAATTATAAGATGTATTCTATATCTTATTCAATTATAAGATACTTTAAAGGAATTTCCAAGTTATGCATTAAATTTTACTACCGTTTGTTCCTAGTGCTATTTGTTGTAAGTACTATTTTTCGACACAAGTCACCTATATAATGACATCATTTCCACTTTGTAACGTCACAAAATCGTCAGAAAACATAAAATCATTACTTTTCATCTTCTATCATGTACATGACTATAGGTGTGCCGAATTTCATTCAAATCTAAATTGTGGTTTCGTAAATATTGAGATAGTTCGAAAACTTTTTGACTATCCCTCGTAATTTTGCATATACCCCCTTTCCAGTGACTTGTTGACGGTTCGTGCTTATTTAAAAATACATTTTAGATGATCGTCTCAACAGACCTCCAACAGACAAACAACTGAAGATCGTCAGTGGACATATTGGAGCCGATTTTCAATTACTTGGGATTCAGCTTGGCCTAGAAAACGCTACAATCCAACAAATAAGGATGGATTACCAGAATTACGGTGTGATTACACAGATTTTTCAAATGCTTTGCGCCTGGAAAGAGAAAGAAGGGAAACAAGCCACTGTGAAGGAGTTCCTAGACGCCATAGAAGCCCATGGAGGGGAAATCGATATTGAAAAAATTAAAAGCGTGTTTAATCTGTGATGAACACAAAACTGTGTTGACTCACCAGTTTTATACCAATTGTTGGGTCTTCGTTTCCACATCAAAAGTGACCAATGAATATCTCGTTTGCCTGATAAAAACTAAAGGCTTTATATTTTGAAGAATACTTACTCTTTCTATGTACCTTATGATAAAATCTAGGATTTCTGGGGTGTCAGTTGTTATTGTACGTTTCTCAGATATTTATTCTTCATACTTTAACTTTAAACATAAATCACTTTTCGTTATTTTCCCATGAAGTTTAACCACTAGCTACATCTATTAACATAAAAATGTAAAATAAAAAACAACAACAAAATTTAACCAAGAGATACCAAAGCCTAGAATAAGGATCTTTTTTTATTTAATACGTAGGGAACCTCTTAATAGTATGCATTCTTATGTATCATTGAATAATATTTATGTAATCATATACTGATATTTTAACAAATTGTTAATACGAGTTTTTTTTTTTATATCATTCTATACATATAGTACTTTTTTGCATTGAATATATAAGCATATACATATTATGTACTGATATTTAAACATATAATATTGAGTAGATACCATTTTTTTGTCAAAGAGTAGTAAATACAAGTTTTTATACCTTTAGCTCTATTTGACGTTTTTGTTGTTAACAATGTATACTGTTCTACAAATGATAATTTCTGCTTATGGAATGTTTCGCTTCACTTTGTTTTAATTATCGATAGATCCGAGGTGTAAATTGTTCTTGTCCTGTATGCTTGTTTGTTTATCTGTTTGTTTGTCTGTTGTCAACTTTAACCTTTGCCATAGTTTTTGATTCGTAAGAGATACAGACTTCATGTTTGGTATGGATACTCCATAAATTTAGTTTTTTTTCAAATAACACCTAGAACAATGACCTTGAGACCTTGGCTGTTACCTATATGCTAAAAATATCTTTCCGTACTTTCATCATAACTTTTGAACCATAGGAGAGACTCTACTAATTAAGTTCTTTCAAATGACAACAAGGACAATAGACTCTTTTTGACTGTGACCCATATGCAAAAATAGCTTTTTGCGAAATTTGTTGCCGCTGGAGGTTTCACAAACACATATTTTCTTTTATACATTTCTCAGCAACTAAACTATCAACAACTTTTTGGTTTTAGGTCACCTGAGTAAACTATTGCTATCCGTTTTCGTCCGTCGTCGTTCGTCGTGCGTTAACATTTGAACATTTTCAGCTTCTTCTCTGCAACCACTGGGCCAATTTCAGCCAAATTTGGCACAAAGCATCTATGGGTAAAGGGGAACAAAAATAGTGAATTTCATGATCCCTACCCCCCTGGGGCCTGAGGGGTGGGGCCAAAACCACTAAAATTAATGCAATCTTCAAAAATCTTCTTCTTTACTCCTGGATACAAGCAGTCAAACTGTTTGCATGATTGTTATCAGCAATGAGTCCTCTACCAAAATTGTGAAATTCATGGCCCTGGGGTCAGGGGTTCTAGTGCTAGGGCGGGGCTAAATAAGTAGGTAGTGAAAATGCATTATTTCTTTGAAAATCTTCTTCTCTGCTCCTGGGTATTAAATAAACCAACTAAGTACATAGTTATGATGAGCAAGAGTGCCTCTACCAAAATTGTGAATTTTATGAACCCAGGGTCAGGTGTTCTGGTGTTAGGGCGGGGCTCTATTGGTTATATAGTGAAAATACATGAAATCTTTGAAAATCTTCTTCTCTGCTCGTGGGTATAAATAAACTTACTAAGTACATAGTTATGATAAGCAAGAGTGCCTCTACCAAAATTGTGAATTTCATGGCCCCAGGGTCAGGGGTTCTTGTTTTAAGGTGGGGCTCTAATGATTATATAGTGAAATGCATGAATTCTTTGAACATCTTATCCTTTGCTCCTGGTTAATATGCTAATGATCTAATTACATATTGAAGGCCAGGATTTATTCTATTTTCAGTTTTACAAACCCTCCGCTAAAGATTTTAAATTTTCAGAAAAAAAATAAAAAACTTTTCTTTCCGATGTCAAATTTGAGTCGGGATCGAGATATCAAATTTACGAACTCGCACTTCCGGTTTTCTGAAACGGCGGGTAAATAAAGCTAGATGTAGATAGCTTGGTTTAGTGTAAAATTCATCGATAAGAGTGCCATTCAAAACGTTTCCCCCGTTCAAAGGACAAGTAAAATGCTGACGACTTTGTTGCACAATGACATGCTGGTGAGATAATTATGTATTCGTTTCAAAAGTAACTGTAATTTTTTTCCCTCCCCCATGTTTTAAACTGCCCGTGGTAGCTATTGCATATTGCCAGGGACATTGTTTAGGTCTCTGTTATAGCTTACAGTCTAAGCATCATTCTTCAGAAAAGGGTTGCTTATGCATCAGACCCAAGTTTTACATAGGAATATATAGGAGAAGTCTTTAAAAATCTTCTTCTCAAGAACCACTGGGCCAGGAAAGATGAAACTCATGTGGAATCATCCTCAGATAGTGTAGATTCAAGTTTGTTCAAATGATGACCCCTGGGGCTAGGATGGGGCCAAAATGGCCGACCCAAGTTTAACATAGGAATATATAGGAAAAATCTTTAAAAATCTTCTTCTCAAGAACCACTGGGCCATGAAAGATGAAACTTATGTGGAATCATCCTCACGTAGGTTAGATTGAAATTTGTTCAAATGATGACCCCCGGGGCAAGGGTGGGGCCAAAATGGCCGACCCAAGTTTAACATAGGAATATATATAGGAAAAATCTTTAAAAATCTTCTTCTCCAGAACCACTAGGCCAGGAAAGATGAAACTCATTTGGAATCATCCCCAGGTAGTGTACATTCAAATTTGTTCAAATGATGACCCCCAGATCTAGGGTGGGGCCAAAATGGCCGACCCAAGTTTTACATAGGAATATATAGGAAAATATCTTTAAAAATCTTCTTCTCCAGAACCACTGGGCCAGGAAAGATGAAATTCATGTGGAATCATCCTCAGGTAGTGTAAATTCAAGTTTGTTCAAATGATGACCCCTGGGGCTAGGATGGGGCCGAAATGGCCCACCCAAGTTTTACATACGGATATATCGGGAAACCTTTTAAAATCTTCTTTTCAAGCACTTCAAAGCTATGATTAGTGTTATTTATATGGAATCATCCTCAGATAGTGTAGATTCTAGTTTGTTCAAATGATGAACGCCTGGGGGGGGGGGGGTGGTTAAGGGGGGGGGTTAAATTCAAGCCCGATGTGCTCAGGTGAGCGCTATGGCCCCTGGGCCTCTTGTTTTTCAAACTCTGTCGAAACGTTTATACAATTCAAAAAAATTTTTATTCTATATTATTTTATGCTTATCTGTATTTATGTGTGAAATATAACCATGAATGTAAATAAAAACTTAAGGACGCTCTAAACACTGCACCCTAAAGAGCTCTATTTATTGGGTAGTTTTATGCAGTTAGAGTGATCTGCCCTTAGATGTAAGTTTAAAGAAATAGTTATTTAACGCTAATTAAATAATTTATAATAGATTTAAATATTTTTGGCATTATATAAGATCAAGAGTAAGGAATGTAATTAATTATTTTCATTAATTTTACCAAAGTAAGTAAACAACAGTAATTTCTGTTTACAAATAGTCCATTGTCATAGAACATTTTTCCTGCGCAAATAAGGCACGTACCCTATGTTTTAAATGATGGAAAAAGTTTCAATATGCATATCTTAATATGATGTGTTTTGCTCTGAGTCCTAAAAACCAGTTTCTGTTAGTGTTTAGAGCGTCCTTAATATGTTTTGTTCAAGTTTCATAATTACAACAGGAAATTGCACTAAGTTAATGCATAGTATAAAAATGTTGCATATGACAAAGAAGACATTTGAAAAGAAGAATTTGTCCTAATGATGTTCAATCGAAATGTTTAATGAACTTAAAAATTAACGTTTGGAGAAAACAATAGTACAAAATACTACTTCTTTCTGTCGCCTTGGTGGTGCATTTTAAATCAAAGATTGACTCATTCAAGGTGGAGGAAAGAAAGGATTTGATCATTGCATTGAAAAATTCGAGCCCATGCACGGATATTGATCATTGGATTAAAGATTAGGATTGTCATGAGTTCTTTTTTAATTTATTTTTTTTTGTTTTTTTATCCATTCAAAATTGTATTTACATACAATGAATGGGATAGGGCAGCAGGCAAAGCCTATTTTAACCCTCTCCCTACAAGGTCAAGATGAACATACAATATATAGGTATGTAAATAAACAGACGAACATAGTAACAAAGAAACAAGAAAAAAGTATAGGGAATATATATATATATATATATATATATATATATATATATATATATATATATATATATATATATATATATATATATATATATATACTCAGCAAAAAAAGAAACGCATATTGTTTTACTCGTCAAAGAATTTTTTAAAATGTACATGGAACAACAATATTTTATATCATTGGATACCTGTGACCTATTTAAAGGATAATATGGGGCTTTAAAACCCAAGTGTTGAATCATCTCCCTTGATTAAAGGTGTTTATGAAAGTATTGTTTTTCATGATTTCTTCACAATTGGATGTCTATTTTCGTTGATATTTTGGATTTAGAGAAAATATTATCACTCCTATATTTAAGATTTGATTGCAGTGTTGATGCCGCAATGCCACGCCGAAACAATGATGAATACAACCAGGCTAATGATGATACTAAATGGTGCTATGCAACAGGAAGTTGCAAGAGCATTTGGAACACATCAATGGGCTTTGCAGCCGTTAAATCAACGTGGGAAGACCAAAGGATTGGCTATCGGCAGGTAACCACACCCAGGCAGGACCGTCAGACCCCCCCCCCTTTTTCAGCACCTCATGCGATTCAGAACTGCTTTAAAAAACTGCTGCTAAAATTGCTGGATGTAAAAATTGTGCATAAATTGTTCACAAGAGACAGGGGAGCTGTTATTTGTGCACGACATCCGTACATTGGAAATCCAGTTGCGCTTAGACGTCGCAAAGGACCTATGGTTGTTTTCGACGGTATGCCCCTAAAATTTGGAGGCGTCGACAATGACATAAACTTCACTTTACTACTCGCGAAACAGGACATGTTTGATTTTTATCAAAACCCTTCAAAATCACTTATAAAACCAGAAGTCTCTGTCGAGACTGAAGCTCTACTGGTTTGAACTTATAGCAACGGAAGAGAAAAGTACCTAAGCAGCTGGGATTTGAAACTTTACAACAGCAATAAATAGAATAATGATCGTTGATAAAGTATCTTTATGTTCTTAGTGTAGTCTACTTGTGTACCAAGTTATATTGAAATCAGACCAAAACTGTAGGAGGAGTAGCATTTTGAAACATTTTACAGATATTTCTTTTTTTAGTAACCACGGCAACACCGTTCATCGAAATCAAAAACCGATACACAGATTTATGTATCTTAGTGTAGTCTACTTGTGTGCCAAGTTATACTGAAATCAGACCAAAACTGTAGGAGGAGTAGCATTTTGAAAGAATTTTACAGACATTTCTATTTTTAGTAACCACTGCAACATTGTTCATCGAAATCAAAAACCGATAAACAGAATTATGTATCTAAGTGTATTCTACTTGTGTGCCAAGTTATACTGAAATCAGATTAAAACTGTAGGAGGAGTAGCATTTTGAAAGAATTTTACAGACATTTCTATTTTTAGTAACCACTGCAACATTGTTCATCGAAATCAAAAACCGATAAACAGAATTATGTATCTAAGTGTATTCTACTTGTGTGCCAAGTTATACTGAAATCAGATTAAAACTGTAGGAGGAGTAGCATTTTGAAAGAATTTCACAGAAATTTCTATTTTTAGTAACCACGGCAACACCGTTCATCGAAATCAAAAACCGATACACAGAATTATGTATCTTAGTGTAGTCTACTTGTGTGCCAAGTTATTCTTAAATCAGACCAAAACTGTAGGAGGAGTAGCATTTTGAAAGAATTTCACAGAAATTTTTATTTTTAGTAACCACGGCAACACCATCCAACGACATCAAAAACCGATACACAGAGTTATGTATCTTAGTGTAGTCTACTTGTGTGCCGAGTTATATTGAAATTAGACCAAAACTGTAGGAGGAGTAGCATTTTGAAAAATTGTTTACAGACAGACGGACGGACGCCGGACGCATTACTATCGCATAAGCTCTTCTGGTCTCTGTCCAGTAGAGCTAAAAATAAGGAGAAAGCTGAAAACTTAGATTATCTTGTTAAATCTGAATATGCGTTTCTTTTTTTGTTGAGTATATATATACTCATCTTGGGCCTTACTGGAACACCTCTTAAGAGATTCTGGAAAACCAATCATATCTTACGAGGAAATTCAGGAAATGAATAGAGAAGTTCCTGAGCAATATCGCCTAGAAAGCGAAGAAGAAATACCTAATTTTTTAACATTCTTTCATGATCATGGAATTCTATTGTATTTCAAGGGAGAAGGGACTGGCACACACGCAATCCTTAGCTTACAATGGTTTTCTGATGCATTCTCTAGGCTTATAGCGGATAAAAAGCATATCAACAGAGACTGCAAGAGACAACATATTACAGAATGGGAAAATTTCAATCAGACGGGAGAACTAAACCATAAGTTGGTCGAAGCTCTCTGGAAAGATGAAAAAGTGGACTCAACAAATGCGCCATCGTACATAGAGTACAAAACGGAACTAATGAGTTATATGGAGAGACTCCGAATGTTGGTCAGTATTGGTGAAATAGGTAAAGGCCAGTCTTGGTATGTGCCTTGTATGAACAAAAAGCCGTTTACAAAAGACATCATTAAAGCAAATAAAGCATGCTCCTCAATTTTGTGTTTTCGATACACATCATTTGCCATATTTGTGTTTTATAGGCTCGTAGCTTATTGCGTGAGTTCTCTCAAATGGAAAGTTGTACCGGACAAAACCTATAGATGTCTTTTTCAAACAGCAGCAGTTTTTAAATACAAAAACCACACTGTTTTTCTCGGTATTTGTGATAAAGACATCCAGTTGCAAGTCGTGGTCAATGCTTTGGACATAAGAACTGAAGTCTCCTGTGAAATAGGTCGTTTAATCGACATGGGCCTAAACGAACTCACTCAAACATTTGAAAACACAAATTTGACTTTCCAGAGAGGATACAAATGCCAAAAGATATTTTGTGACGAAAATGATATGTCGTTTACACTAGTAGAGGATCTTTGTCAATTAGGACTTGAAAACATCGAGTGTTCCTGCTGTCCAATTGGAAAAAACCACCAAATAAATGTACAAGAAACAAGGAGATTCTGGGAACAGGTATATAATATGAATATGTCTCTACTTCCAGTCGCTTATATGTTTTAGAGTTGCTGAGTAAGCTAGGATTCATCCTTACGTGGTGGGTTCGAATCTCAACTTGGGACGTGAACATTTGTCCTTTGAGTGAGACCATCTAAACGAAGGTCCTTTGTTGCAGTAGGTGTAAAAATAATCGCTTACTGACCTTGACTGCCGCTCATAGGTCCATATCTGTAGCTTTGCTGTCCTTATCTACTTAAAAATGAAAATCTATATCAAGAAATATTATTTATCCCCTGTTTTACGTGCTTTTTTGGTTTTAAGCAAGATGTTACAATAAATGTCTACGCAATACCCCCCCCCCCCCTTCACACAGACGCACTTCTACCATGATCAAAGCGTGACCGAAAACTGGAGGAGAAACGTAGTAAAGTATTTATAAGCGCATTATGATCGCGGTAGGGTCTTTTTTTTAATCATGTTAAAAATTATGGCTTGATTTGGATGATGGTTTCTTTTTAAACATGTTCCTGTTTGCGTACATTATGTTTAGCTCACCTCCATGAAGTTTGGGAAACTTGTGTAATAACGTCGGTGTCGATGTCGGCGTCCCGGGTTAAGGTTAGGTTTTTTTGAAGCGGATTTTTTTTCAGTACTTTTATGTCCTATATTGAATTAGACATGCATGGAAGATGGTTCTTGTGTGTTTCATTTTACCAGTCAATGTTTCAAATGCTGTTATTTCAGCAAAGGAATGACCAGGGTAATGTTTTTTTGGGAAGGTTAACATTTTTTGATGCAGCTTTTGGTGTAGGTCTCATTTCCGAGTAACTATAAGCCCTATGTTGACCAAACTTGCGTGAATGATACATCTAAGGATGCACACAACCAGGCTTGCTTCAGATGCTGAATCTGACCTACATTTTCTTGATGTTTGAAAAGGTTTATGTTTTTGGTGCTGGTCTCATTTCACAGAAGGATATGGAGATAACGAACAGTATTCAATCTCAAAATCCACAAAAGATAGAAATAAAACAATACAAAATAAGAGCAGAGAAAACACGGACCGCCAAAACATCAGAGGTGGGTTCAGGTGCCATAAAAAAGTGTGCATCCAAGCTTATCGGTCAAGACTGTTGTGTGCTTCTTGTCATGATCAGGAAATAAGGAAAATCAAATATATATAAAAACTGGACTAACAATTAGTATGAAAGATGTCAGTCAAGTCTTGACTCAATGATAAAAGTAGCTTTGAGCCCAATAAAGACCAAATTTTTATGGTTGATACATCTAAGAAAGCATACAACCAGGCTTTCTTCGGATGCTGGATTCGAATTACATTTTCCAGATGAGTGAACAGTTTAAAAGTTTTGGTGTAGATTTCATTTCCAAGTTACTTTGAGCTCTATGTTGACTAAACTTGCATAGTTGATACACTTAAGGATGCATACAGCTGGGTTTGCTTCGGATGCTGAATCTAACCTACATTCTCCGGTTGAGTGAACAGGTTTACTTATTGATGCAGGTTTCATTTCAATGTAACTATGAGCCCTTTATTGACCAAACTTGCATGTATGATACATATAAAGATGCATACTACCAGACTTGCTTCGGATGCTGAATCGGACCTACATATTCTGGATGAGTGAAAAGGTAAGTTTCTATGCAGGTTTCATCTCAAAGGAACTAAGAGTCTTATACTGAGCAAACTTGCATGGATGCCAAATCTACAGATGCACATTAATGGACGTGCTTCACATGCTGAATTCGACATACATTTTCCAGATAATGCAGGTAAAATGTATATTTGCAGGTCTATAACCAAGAAACTATAAGCGTATATCAATCAAATTTGCACAAAGGACGAATCAAGGAATGAAAACTCTCAAACTTGCTTCAGATGCTGAATTTGAATTACATTTTCTTGTTGACCGTTGTTAGGATACAATGAATGGCAAATATTGTCTTCTTCCACCTATAACATGCTTCCTGTAGTGACTGTCATTAGTTACAAGTTTTTATACCCCCGCAAACGAAGTTTAGGGGGGTATATTGGAATCAACATGTCCGTCTGTCTGTCTGTAGACAAGATTTTGTCCGGACCGTTTCTCAGAAACTGTTTGATGGATTTGTCTGAAAATTTATACACTTATTATTCACCATATGAAGGTGTGCACCTGGGATTTTCATCATGATTGGATGATTTTTCTGCATTTTACAGGCGTTTTTCCTTTTTTATTTTGTGATTTTGTTTGGCTCATAACTAGAAAACTATTAGACTTACAATCATCAAACTTGGTTAATTTATGCATCTTGGGTAGACGGTGTGTCCCGACCTATTTTAAGGTCACTGTGACCTTTAATTTAAGTGATTTTTTTAAAAAAACTAAGTCTTTAAAATTTTAATTTTCATAATCCTAAAAAATGTAAAAATATAGTTGTATCCTTATTAAAAAATGCTAAATTAAGTAAAAACTTATTTTTTATCATATACTTTACAGCCAATTCTGTAACAAATGTTAATGATTTGAGAGGAATTCAGTTTGTCCCATGGGCATAATTATCAAGCACTGGTCAAGGAAAATTTTTGATAGCAGAAATGTGCATGTCAAATTAGAGAGAAATTAATGAGTTCATTGTCGGGGAGTTAACTGGCAAGAGCATCATGCAGTATTATCTTAATTCATCTCTTGGGAGTTTGGCAAAAAGAAATGGCCTTATAGTTGCTTGTGTTAATTAAGAGTTCTTGATGGCTGTAGTTCAGATAAGGATCTTTCAATTGGTGTAATGTAATTAAAACAAATTGATGTTTTAGTGTATGATTAAAACTGAATTAGTATTGTATAATATAATTAATATTAATTATACATGTGTTCAATGAAAAAAAAATACATTTCAATTTTTATATATTTGCAACAAATTGCAGTCATGTCTCACTTAGAATTTTATAGTCTAAAGAATAATTAACTTTTGATTTTTTTTATTAGACTGCAGCATTTCCATTATACCACAAAATATGCAATAAACAATTTAAAGCTGCAGATGGATATTTGTTAAGCTCTAACACAGCCAGTTTAGAATTATATGATGTATTATTTGTCTTAATTAATCCCTACACTGTAAGTCTCTTAGAGATGTATGTACAATATTTTAAACAAGATAAGAAATGGAAATTAGATCATTGAAATCTGAGTCAATCTGTTAATCAAGGTTATTTGATTTTCTTGCACCCTAACCAATTTATGATTATCGAACAATATTTGATGGGCGTATCATGCTGTGGCGGGGCACTTGATTAGACAATAGTGAACACATCTTACTAGATCCATAAAATATTTCTGACTTGGCACCTACTCTGAAAAACCCAGCGGGGGTATTTGTCCCTATTGGACAGTTCTAGTTATGTTTGTTAGTTGACATTTTTTTGCATATTACTTTATTTGTATTTTAAGCCTCTGTAAAAATTTATGATTGATTGAAATTTTACGTTTTCGTCCCCGTGTCTCAGTTCTGTTACGACAGGCCCAACCTGTTGTAAGCATCATTTCGATGTTCGAGCATCAGACTTATATAATATTAGTGAAATTTATATAGTCATGTATTACAATTAAACTTAAATATTTGATTGATGATCATTATCCTTTTTAGAATCTTAAAGAGACTGAAAGTTTCCCAACTGTATCGCAGTTCCCTCTTGAAAGGACTGACGGGAGAGGTAAAGCAACTAATTTTTTTTCTTCATAATTTATACTCTACAATAAAATTGTGTTAAAATAAAGTTCAACATTTAAAAATTGATTTAATATGACATTATATCTACATCTACTGAATATTTATTCCCTTATTTCCTCTAAAAAACATTGAAATTAAACTGTCCATAAACTACACTGAGCAAGTCGCACGCATATATTTCTTGAACAATAACTGTTGGATCAGTAATGCGCACAGTGACGCTAATGCGGGTTATAGATTTTTTCAACGTCTGCGACATGAATACCCGTACAAACAACCAACGTAAGCATTTGATTGTGTTAAAAGATGTTCACTATTTCTACAGTTTATTTAAAAAATTTAAGGGTTTGATGATAATTACATAGACATCTAAGGGAAACAAAGGGCAATTACTCACATAGCCTGTCATCAAATCTTTAGAACCCCTTAATATGTTTAATGTCTATAAAATTAATTAAATTAAACATCATTAAGGTATGCCACTCATGAAATTTAATAAGTATGGGATTTTTTTAGTAGTATATTTTTAGATAAGTACTCGTATAGTGTTATTTAAAATCGAAGAGAAAATAGGGGGTCAGTGTGTATCTTACTGATCTACGGTACAATTAAGTTGACCATTTTGCACTTAAACCTTAATACTTTGGTAAATTACTTTAACCTTTATCGTATTTTATAAGATAAAATCATGGAAATAAATATAATTTTATTTTGCGTAAAATAGTTTGAATAATATTTATCATTGAACTTGCAAATTAATGCACTCAATTTATTGTATGACATTTTTGCACTAAAAAGTAACATATTTGGGATATTAAAAAACTCAATAGGCAATAAAACATTTTCTTAAATCAAGCTTTTTTACAACTTAAGTCCTGATCAGTCACAAGTATCGAGTACTTTAAACTAATAAAAGAAAAAGTTGGGGTCAGTGGTGTAAATTTTGAAATATTTGTCAAAATATGTGATTTTCAGGCGAAAAATGATGTAAATTTTATCTTGACTTATGTGACATATCTTTTTTTTTCTTTGCAAAGTTTGTTAAAGGAAGATGTAAAACTTGTTCTAAAAATATAAAATAAGACCTATATTGAATATTCCTAGCAATATCACAACTGAAATATTCTCCGAGTAAGAGTATGTGAGGCTACAGTTCAAGGATAATTTAATAAATGTGCTGATTTGCAGGATTATCTGCTAAATATCATTCCACCACAAAAAATATAGTCCCTCATAAATCTTGTTTCTTTTAGCATTATGAGCACATTTTTGTTGAAATTCAGAACTATTAAATTGTAGAATTAAAATATGTTAAAAAGAATTGAATTTTAATGTATAGTTTTTAAGTAAGAGGTTCGCGCAAACTTTTCTAAAAAGCTGACAATTAACATACCTGAAAGGAAATATTCAATTTTGATTAGATTTATTTTAGTGCATTTAAACAGGTTGGAGAGAATACTCGAAATCTGGCATTATCCGTGAATTCGCGTATAATACCCAATATTAGGGTATCGTTGAATCCGCGTTATCGGGTATTGGAGGTGCAATCACCCAATAAAACTAAAACAATGGGATGGCGCATGTTGCCGATTTAACTTTCATCTAGAAACAAATGTTTTTTAAGGGTATCACTAGGCAAGTAAAAATTTGGGCGTTCGATTTGCTTATATTTTTCATAATGTTGAAAGAATATGCATCTTCCCCATGTTCATTCCTAACACAACAGAATTGTACAGTATCAGAATTCGGGAATTTATAATAATTCCATATCAACACGACAAACATGGACAAATTGTAAATAAACAAAATTCTACGGAAACACATTTCACACACAAGATATTTGACATGTATAAATTAGGGACTGTATTTCATATCTAATTATGCGTCAATAATTTCTTTCACATTCATCTTGTGCATAAAATCAGATTTATTTATGAATGCATAAATAATTTTATGATAAAAATGTTTAAAATTTCGGCTAAAACCTTCTTTCTCTCTTTTTTTAAATATCTTTTTTTTTACTGTATACAGGATTATTTTCACCCCGTTTTATTTTCGCCCTTTCACATCTGAAAACAAGTTCGCCCCGTTTTAAATTCGCCCAAAAAGATTTTTGATTTAAGATATACTGTTTACATTGAATTCACCCCGTTTTAAATTCGCCCACGCCAGACTAGGGCGAATGGGGCGAAAATTAAACGTGGCGAAAATTTCCCTGTATACAGTATTCATACATATTTTAAGAATATGTCTTCAACATTTTAGCATAGACAATGATAGTTTCAGGAATACAACTTATGAGAGACCGTTACTGTTGATCGTTAAATTTCACTAAGTCATTAATATTTTACCATTTTTTGGCGACTTCAAGGGGGGGGGGGGGGGGGCTAAAGGCTTCTTGACCACTTCTGACAAAACAACCTCGACTGTGTTCTGCATATGTCCAAGAGACCCCTCCTTTCGCAATCATTGAATTAAATGATAATGCTATTAAGTTTTTTTTCTATACGTCTTTGAATTTCATCATTTTGTCACAGTTTTCTTTTAGTTATTTCATCTGTGATACATATTATTCAGGGCAATAACTATTCCTAATACTCATCTATAATGAAAAATGTGTTACAAAGTTAACATGAATTTTAGTTATTTTTTAAATACTTGTAGTATCATATTATGTTAACAGGTTGCTTTTTGTTTACCTAATTAAATTGTATATAATTTTTATTTGATGAATAAATCTTCCCTACCATTAAAAATATATAATTAAACTGTGACAAATTGTCTAGAACCAATCAGATATTGCATTGTATAGCATATTATAATGAGGTTTTAAGATAGCGATAAATTCGTGTAAAATACACAACAGAAAGTAAAATCTACCATGTCTATCAAATAGTATAAGAAAGAAAGGAAGTGGCTACAAATTTAATGAAATTTTAATATCCGATGAGGAATTATGTCCCCCAAAAGTAAGACAAGAGTGCCCAAGGCGCAATTGAACACTCTATTATTTCAGTTTGTTCGTTAACATGTTCATAAACGTAAAAACTATAAGAAATGTGAAAACTTGACTATGTAATTCATATTAGAATATGTCTACCTCGATCTATTTTGAGAAATTCAATGTTTATTAAGCTCATGAAAAGATGGTACACATTTGACTTTTATTTATAACCCCCCTCCCCCCCAAAAAGAGAAAATTCACGCTCTCATAAATGTAAAACTATAAGAAATGTTAAAATTTGACTATGTTATTCATATTTGAATATGACTAACTCGATCTATTTTGAGAAATGCAATGTTTATTAAGCGCATGAAAAGATGGTACACACTTGACTTTTATTTATAACCCCCCCCCCCCCCCCCCCCAAAAAAAAAAAAACAAGGAGAAAATCCTGTTCACATGACTTCTCGCTCTCAATTTTCACACGAATAAAGGTAAAATAGCATACAGTGATCCCCCGTTATAACGCCAACATTTGTACCCTCGTCATTTTGGCATTATAACGGGGGTGGCGTTATATCGGGGGGGGGGGGGCTGACGTGCACAAATAAATGAAAACAAATTTATTAACAATGTACTACATGTATTTCAAGATTTTAATGCTTTTATAACAAATTAACAAATAATTATCAAATATAAAAGCTCGGATCAAAAGCTTACGTATGCTTGTCAAAAAATCACTGTTTTTTGAAAAACATATCAATTGACAAAGACACCGTAAGGTTACAATCGTCAACAGGTGTGCTATTTATAGATCGATTTTTATCTGTGACTAACCCGCTGTGGATCCAACAATTTCTAATTGTGTCGGGGGTTACACTTTCCCATGCTTGTTTAATAAAGGGAATACCTTCACTTAATAATACTTTCGGTGCATTATTTTTGTCAAAACAATCCACTCGTGATATTTAATGATTTCCAGTCTTTGTTTCAATTCCAAGATAACGCGCCTTGATTTCGGCGAGTCAGCCATATTCAGACTTCAAAAAGAAGAGTAAAGATTTGAACTCAAGTTATAATTATGTATGTAACTTATTATCTACTCCAAACTTTGATACCTGGAAGACTAATGGCGGATAATTGATTAAGACTGTTCACTGAAATTCCCTCCCTGAAGATGTAATTGGCGGTAATTATCGGGGGTGATTATAACGGTAATGGACAGATTTGTACCTGAAATACGTTGGCGGATGGCGATAAGCGGGGGATGGCGGTAAAACGGGGTTTTATATAGCGAGGAAATCAGGACTTGACTTTTTTTTGGCGGTAGGCGGGGGTGGCATTATAACGGGGGGGATTATAACGGGGGAGCACTGTATTTTCTATCGATAAAAATGCAACCAAAACATTTATGGTGCCTTTAAATAAAAATTTCCATGATACATGTAAATTGACATTAAAAGATACTCACCTTCAATGAGCTATTTTCAACCTGTTTTATTGTTGGTATTTATTTGATCTTAGTTTATTTTCTTCTTTATAATAATGTTGGTATTCTATTATGACTAGGTTATACTGTACTTACTAACTTTTAGGAATAATTTATATATCACGTAAAAGGGACACCATACATTTTTCAGAAAAAAATACATACCACAGCGTTAGTCGTTTAATTTCTTTAAAGTTTCACATTTTGTCGATAGTGCACAATTTAGAAAATTAAGTCTATGGAATACTTTAATGGAAAATAAAAGACAAACGAAATGTAATTATTTGTTTTTAGAAACTATATTGAAAAATAAAAGCGTCATTGTATCCTCTTTGTTACCAAGCAGTGTTTGTCGTATGATTTAAACTTATTTGACAACGCTATGAATTAGGTTTAATAAAAATAAATCCACAAGATACTGCTGTACATGTAAAAGTAACTGGCTTTATTCTTTAGTTTTTAGCTCACCTCCACGAAGTCGAGATGAGCTTGTGCTATACCCCCGGCGTCGGCGTCCCAGGTTTAAGTTTTAGGAGCAAGTCTGTTCCCA